GGATGGAAAGAAGTGTCACCCATGACCCCTCCCTCCTCTTGACCTGCACCAAGGGTCAAAAGTAACTAGAGTCTTCCACGGATATTTCTGTGACAAATGATTCAGTTTGTTCATTTATATGACCCTTCTCCCTCTCTCCCTCTTTAGTATTCCTTCTCTCACTATTTCCTGTCCATCACTTCTCTTCATCCCAATTCTCATTGCCTGAATTCAAGCACTTTTTATCTGCAAAGTCTCCTAAGAGGCCATCATATTTCTTAGTTGATCCATCTTCTTGAGTCCAATCTCTACTCTGCAGCTAGGGAGAGTGTTCTGCCCAACTCCAAACCTTTCCATGGCTCCCATGACCTTCAGGTTAGAGGACAAGCTCCTTAGTCTGGCTCACAAGACTGTCAAAGATGTGGCCCCTATTTGTCTCCCCAGCCTCAAGGGACACTGCTTCACTCCTTGTGTTCGAGCCCTGCACACTCATTTCACTTCTTTGCTCCCTCTTGCCTCCAGGGATTTGCACATTACTTCCTCCTTCTGATTCCCCTTCCCTCCAGTCTCCATTTGCAAATTCCTTCAGGCTTCAGCTTAGACTCTCTCTCTTCTGTGAAGCTCTCCTTCACAGTCCCTCCTAGGAAATGTATCAAAAGCCCCTTCTCTTTCCTTCCACAGAACCCTGCATTGCTTTGTTTGCTCTTGTCTGTTTCCATGCCTGATCCCCCAACTACATGGGGCAGATCCTTGCCTTATTTACAGGTGACTCTCAGGGTCTGGTATGATGAGTGGCACATGGCAGCCTAATGATTCAGATTTCCTGTACTGGGCACACCACAGGGCCTCTCCATCCACACCAGAGGTGGAAGGCCACAGGAAAGCGCCCTGGCCCATAGCGTCAAATTCCTTTCTGATGCTAAAATCTCCCTCAGGGATCACTCCTGAGATTCATGTGCAGCCACCTAGAAATGATTCATATTTGAACAGAAACAGTTGACACTGCTGAGCACCCAGAACCTGGGAAAGTCAGTGAATATTAGAGACGTCCATGAATCTCCTCCAGCTCTCTCAGGTAAGATCAGGCTTCATCCATACAGTTTCTTGTAGTTTGAATGAAGGAAATCTGCCAGGATGGACAGCAGAACATCCTACTTAGGGTCTGATAAGAATTAGGCTTGGACAAGGAGGAATAGTACAGGGTACGCAACACTTCCTAAGTCCCAGCCCCAGGATCATCTTGGGGATGTCAGCCTTCTAGACTAGGGAAAATTCTAAAAGAAGAGATATACGGCAGTGGGGACACTGATGTATAGTGCACTAAAATGTAGAGTTTGGAAGAATGATAATTATTGACCACAAGGACAGCCTGAGGGCCACAGATGTAACCTTGGTGAGGAGAAACAGATTAGTGCATAGAAGCACTGAAAAACAGAGCTGGATGGGGCCATTGATAGACGAAGAAACTGAGGCCCAGAAAGGTGAGGAGACCAGCTCAGCAGTCCCGTAAGCAGTTGAGTTCAGAGCTGGAGGGAGGACTGAGTCCCTGAATCTAAATCTTTAGCTTATTCTACTCCCTTGTGGTATCTCATATGAAAAGACTTCTCTTGGTAATGGGGACTAGGCATTATCTTCTTCTTAGTATGCTCTCTCTCTCTATCTCAATCTCTCAAAAAAAAAAGTAGGTGAAATACAGGGAAGAAATGTATTTGGGGCATTTCAAAAAATTCTGGAACCTTCCATCATTGGCAATTATATCTATCATTTGGAAATTATAGATATCAGGTATTAAGTGCCAGGCATGGCACTTTTCTTAATGTACACCTTCATAACCCATCTTGAAAGGTGGCTGTCATCATAGTGAGATGCAGAGAAGGCAAATGGCTGAGAGGACAAAATGATCCCCTGAAGATGACCCAGGGCTAAGAAGTGGAGGAGCTGGGATTTCCAGCCCATCTTATCTAATGTTGTGTAATTCAAGAGATTTTGCTCATTTTCCAGGAGCAAAAAACTAAGGGAAAGAAATAATTTATTGGGTAGAGTGTTTTACAGTTTATGAGCCGCTTTTACCGCACAGCTATTCATTCCCTCCAAGCACTCGGCATCCCTGTGAGGTGGCTAATATCACCCACATTTTACAAATGAGGAAACTGAGGCACAAGGAGATCAACTGTCCTAGCTCCAGGTCCCCTTTGAACCAGGATTCAAATCTAGCCTTTTTGATCCAATTGATGTGCTTCTCCATAATACTAGAGCTGAAATCAAGGAAAGAAAGTGAAGGGCGAGAAATACATTTTAAGTTTAAAATAGTCCATCAGATGTTTTCAGCAAACGTTATATGAGGCCATTCAACACCAGATTACAGTCATTCTAAAGTGCCCACTTGAAAAAAAATGAGCATTTCAAGGCAAAATATGTATTTCTGTTCTCCTTCACTCTGCTCCAGTGGGTTGACCCTAAATAATGTAAAGCAGCCCAGCGAGCATCCTCCAGGCTTGCTGCACATACTGAGACAGGGGAAGGCACTGGGACAGCCTTTGTGCAAGCCTCTTCCTGTGCAGGGGGTCACGCTGCAGGTAAGGCCTGTTGACTCCTTCAATGACTCCCCATGGCAGTCACTAGGCCAAATGCTAGGGCCACAGCCATGGGAGAATAAAGCAACGTTCCTGACCTCAGGAAGAGTGAAGTCTACAGAGGGAGCAGGCATGTGTGCAAGTAATGACAATATCACACAGCTGTCACAGAGCAGGTCCAAAGTGCTGTGTGGGAGCAGAGGGAAGAGAGCCCAGGAAGGCTTCCCCTAGGAGGGGGCTTTTGAATTGCGTCATAGAGGGAAGAGGGATGTGAGAAATCATTCTAGGCAGAGAGACCAGCATGAGCAAAAGCAGGGGTATAAAAAAGCAGAGAATACATAGCATAAGACAGTCCTGGCTCCTTCCAGAAATCATGGTTCCCTCAGCAATTACATCAAGCTGTAAGCATTCAGTCAAATTGGGCAAACATTTGGTAAACATCTGGCATTACAGAGCAGAGTTAGATGAAGGTGAATCTTGCCCACAAGGAGCTTACTATGTGTCCACTCTATCCATCCAATCAACATTTACTTGAGTCTCTACTATGTGCAAATCCCTGTCTACACTATAAAATGCTTAGTCTAACCCTGTGGTGAGCAGACCTCAGTGTTCCCAAACTAGATGAGTACTGCATTTGATAGCAAAGCCCTTGACCTTCAACATTTGTAAGCAAAGATGGATGACATGCTGTGTTTCCTCCGATAAAGTCCTCTTTATATTTCTGAGTGTATCTTGGACCAGACTACAGCATTTCATCTGTGAGTCACTGACCAATATTTCTACTCCCTCTTCATAGCTGATGTCTGTTTAATGATTTGCTGAACTGAGGAAGGGAATTTCTTTAGAAAATGATGATAATTCCTTTTATTTGCATGGCATGTTAGGTTTTGAAAAGCACTTACCCATCCATCCTCTCCATCATCTCACTCAATTGTCACAGGAGCCTGGTAACCTACAAGAACTGTTAGCATCCCCGTTCTACAGATGAGAGAAATGAGTCTCAGGGAGGTGGAGCAACTCAAGGTCACGCGGCAAGTCTATGATGACATCCGAGCTCAAATCCCTGTTTCCTGATTCCCAAATCTTGTCCTCTTTTCTCTACACCTTACCATTTGCTTGAAATACAATAATATCATCCTCATTATGACACAAATCCCAGAGGAAATGCTGGTCAAATCACATCCCCTCAGGCACCATAACTACAGCATAAATTAAAAGCCCAATTAAAGAACACGGCCTTTTAACTGGGACTTATCGTTGTCCCCTGAGGCCAGGGTATAAAGAGAAAGCCCTATAAAAGTCAATGGCTGCCCATCCTGGAAATAACCCAGAGATCCACTTACCCATATGCAAGAGCCTTTAGACTCAAATTATTCACCTAACTTGATGTTCCTTCTCTATGGTCTTCTGGGGCCCTGGCTCCCACCGAGCTGGGTCCGGAATAATGTCCAAATCTCTGCCCCTCTCTCTGTCTTGGAGGTGCACTTAACAGTCCATGACTCCCTGCGGACAGCCCAGGTGCCTCTCAGCTCTGACACGTCTCTTAATATCAAGAGCATCAGAATCTGATGGAAAACAATGCTTCGCTAGTTCAAACAGAGAACTGAAGCAGAATTCTCTAGCTGTCTGAAAGTGGGATAGTTTGCCAATGGCTGGAGCCCTCGGAGTGGCCAAGGGGACAAAGGGTGTTATTATACTCAATGTAGCCTTGTTTTGCTGACAACGGGAGGGATGGCTAGAAAATGAGATGAGGAGAAAGCAAGGGGGCATTCTTGACTGCTAGTGTATCATTTTATATCAATTCCCACCCCACCCCTAATAGCAAAAGGCAGCAACATGATAAACTCCAGGGATACCCTGGGTCTCAAAATGATAATAGTTACTACTCCCCTTGTCTAAATATCCCCTCCAGTTGCTGGGTTTGAAGCTGACTTTACAGATGAAGAGCTGGTTTGAGCTCTGGTCCCTTTCCATGTCATAGCTGAGCTGCAGTGCCCCCCCACCTCACCCCGTCCCCAGCCAAGCCACCACAAGAATAGGTCTCTAGGTCAGCCTGGATTACAGAGAATCACTACCGCTGTCCCCTCACTCCAATATGGTCTTCTTGAGAATCTACCCTGGTTCAGGGCTCAGAGGACCTGCTTGCACAGGATACGGATGTGCTGCCTCTGCCACCATTTGGGACTTCTGCTGGGACCACCTCATTAACCCAGCGTCTCCCCATCTACCACATCCGATTTCCTCTCTTGCTCTCTCAAGACATGCCCAGATGTGCTGCAAGACTAGAGGACAGAGATTGGGGGAGATAGAAGGAGATAAACCACATTTCGCGGCGGAGTCCCTGTTAAGTAATAGAAAGCCATCCAACTAGCAACCACGCTTCCAGAAACGTCACTGCCACAGAGGAGAGAGTTTGGCAGCTGCCGACCCCGGAGCGCTCTCACCTACCTGTCTCCCACTGCAGGGCTCCTCTCTCTCACCTCCTCCAGCCACCGCTCGTGGGTCTCTCACTCTCCTCTTTTCTCCTTCTCCAGCCGCCAATACTTGCAGCGGTGGTGGGCGGACCGCGGAGTCCGGGCACCTGCGAGCTGGGTCTCAGGTCCCCGCGGCGAGGCTGCCTGGAGGAGGAGCGAGAGGATGCTGCCCTCGCCGCCGCCGCCGTGGTGCTGATGCGGTTGCTATGGTTATGGAACTCCGCAGCTGCCCCCTCTCGGCGCAACAGCTGCCCGGCCGCGGCCTCCGGGCAGCCCCAGCGAACCCGGCCGAGATGCAATGTTGTAAACACGGTGAACGGGATTCGCCGCCACCACTGCAAAATAGAAACGACCGAGAGTGCCTGCGCTCGCGCCTGCCGGGCTCTGCTCACCTCCGCGCCCTTGCTTCTCTCCTTCCCCTGCCGGGACGCGGCCAGACCCAGCGCCGCGCGCAGCGCGCCCTCGCGGCCTGGAGAGCCCGCCCTGCAGCTGCCGGCTGGCCCGGCTCCCCCGGCTCCCCGCAGCCCTGCGCACCGCCCAGAGGCTGCGCGTCTGGCTGCGAGGCGAGGCTCCCGCTCTCCCAGCCTCGGCCCTCTTCGCGGCGAGTCAGCGGTGGGAGCCTCCGGGCCGGGCAGGCTGCCCAGTGGCCAAACCCCGCCCGCTCGCCCGCCCGGCCTGTGGGGGGCGCAAGCTGCTGGACCCGACGCCCACCCGCCCTCGCCAGCAGGGCCTGGCCGCGAGCATGCTCAGTCTCCGCGTCGGGAGTTGCCCTCCCAAATTGGAAGACTGGGGTGCAGCGGAAAGGAAAAGGTCCTTTCCAGACCCCCGAGGGAGGGAGGACATATGGCTTGCAGGGGGAGGTGTTAAACTTTGAAGAGGGGCCCAGGGGCAACCCAATAGATGCCTGAGAAAATAGTAAAGCGCTAATCAATCTATACCTCCAATAGGAAGTCAGCAGTGGCTGTCAACCAGCCATTTGCTGGTGACCTACTTCATGCTGGGCAGTGAGGGTTCAGAGATGTGTAAGATTCGGTCCATGGAGCAGGGGAGAAGATTGAGAAAAGTTAAGCCAACTCCCCTCTACTGGGCATCCTTCACCAGGCATTGCACTTGGAAAGGTCTCTAATTTTCGTGGTTGCTAGGTTAGAAAGGTCTCCTGGCACTCATGTTACAGATGAGAGTCTCAGAGAGGGAGCCAAAATCGGAACTTCCGAGACCAGCGCTCGGTCCATTAGACTGGGCAGCACTAACTCACAACCCAAGAAGAGATGTGGATTGTCACCAAGCAACTACAACCAGTGTGACTAGCGTCTAAAGCAGTTGGGGATGTGTGTGTGGGGGTGCATTCATGGAAAGACACTTGAAGGAAGGGACAAGAAGAAGCAAAGGGGGGAGGTGAAGGGCAGAGGAGAGTGTTCCTTCCAAAATGAGAGGACCAAGCATGCGAAGACCTGGAGGTAACACAGCCAGACTGGTTTTTGATCCACACTCGGGATCCAGTATAGCTGGAACAGAGTGTGCCAGGAGAGGTGAGGCAAGTAATGAGGTTGGAAGGACAGAGGCACTGTACATCGATCTCCTTGGAATCCAAGTGAGGGGGTTGGAACTTGTCCCTAAGGGCAACAGGGAGCCACTGAAGGTTCTTAAGCAGGGGAAAGGCTGGATCAACATTTTGGGAAGGTCACTGCAGTTGAAGTGAGTGTGGCAGGGGTAGGGTGGGTATTAAGGCTGCAAGAAGGAGTATTGTGAGAAGGGCCTTGCTGCAGGCTGGCCAGGGCAGAGGAAGGCTGTGTTCTGTCTGCCTTCTTGTCCTCCCCACAGCACCCAACCAATCCTTGGACAATTGCAAGTGCTCAGTAAATGTTTGGTGAATGGCAAATACATGAATATTAATTTCTTCATAGAGAAAATGGATGCCTTTCTTTCACAATTTTTGTCTTTAAAATGTGATCGAAATCACGTGACACATTTTGCTATTAACACTGCATTATTATGCAACCTCATTTGTGAAAGTTGATGCAAGTCCCCAACATTTTCCTGTGCATTTGCTAGTCCCCAGCAGTGCAGATATTCTGGCAGCGCAGGGTTTGCTTGTATTCGGATGTGTTCCAATTGCCTGAATAAAAGAGCTCCAGGATATATTGTTAAGTGAAAGAGCAAAGTGCAGAAAAGTGTTTATAATAAAATAACTCTCGGGAAAGAAGGAGGGAGACACAAAAGTATATTTGGATTTGCTTGTATTGGCATAAAAATATACTGGAAGGCTATGTAAGAAACTTGTAGAAGTGGATATTAACTATGGGGGTAGGGTTGGGTGGAGAACTGGTTGCACAGGGTCTAGGTGGGAGTGAGACTTTCAGACTTTCAGTGTACACTTTTATTTTTGAATTTTTTTTAAATTTTTGAACCAAAAATAAAGTACACACACATACATAAGTGTGGATCACATCCCACGTTTGACTAGAATCTTAATGAATCTTAAGATAATCTCAAATGAAACATGCAACATGTCCCAAAGGGTTGTGTTCCAAGACCTCCCCCCTCAAATCCAATGTGGCAAAATAGTATTATGACTTATTACTGTGAAGTCTTCCTCTTCAATCGCTGCATGGATTGGAGGTAAGGAGAGAGGAGGAAGCCCGGACACAGGAACTGAGGTCTCCGGGAGGCCAGGAGCACCAATGCCAGCACTAGGGACTGTGTGGACATGATCAATGTTTCAGGCCCAAGGGTCTTCCTGTCAGCAACAATCACTGGTCCATGGTGGCCAAGATGACACCCACCTATCATCCAGCTGGAGTGATGCCCTTTGGGCCCAGAGATTCCCTCATCCAGAGTCCTCCTAGTAGACGGGCTCCATGCAATGCCCTGCTCCAAACCAGTGCATACTCAGCCCCGAAGCATGAGGCTCTGAACAGCTAGGGGGCTGCAGGAGGTGTGGAAGGGAAAGCCCCTAGGGCCTGGGTGGAACCGATTGAAAAGCAAAAATAACCCTCCACTGTGATCTCCCCTCCCAGGGAGGCCCCCCCCAGTCCATCAAATCACTGGAGCCAGAAACCCAGCATCATCCTAGGCTCCTAGTCTCTCTGCCTCATTCTCTTGATCCCTCTCCTCTCCCACACATCTAATTAAGTACCGACATCTGTCAATTCCACCATGTAAATAGCTCTCAAAGTCGTCTATAATGGGGCCCCACAAGAGACTTTATTTTAATTTTCTTCAACAGGAGGCTGTGAGTGATGGTGTCCAGGGAAATGGGTATGATCTTAGCTTTGTTTTGAGGTGAGCAGCTACAGACAGGGCAGGAGGACATTGATTCTGGGACAGATGCAGAGTCTGATCCAGCCCCAGGGTTCTGGTGCAGCTGGAAGGTGACACCCCATTTGAAAGAGCTGAGTACTGAGAGACAGAACTAAGCATCGGATACTTCTGGGTGAGTTTGGTTCTGGGGAAGTGAGGTTGCCCTCCTTCACAGAGCCACAAGGGCTTGAGCTGGGTCAGGATGAGCAAAGAATCACAGCAGGGTGGACCAGCATTTTCTCACTCTGTGAGAAAAGGCAAGTTTTCAGTGGTGACATCCTGTGGCAACATGAAGCAACTGTCATACAATACTGATCAGACTCCGCACGCTGCACACGAGAGGGAGGAAGTTGGAATAGCCTCCCCTTGGGATTAGGTAAGCCCCAGTTGTTGGAGGACAATTTGGGAGGAGAGAGATCCCCAAGAGAGAGAAACATCACCCCCTGCTAATAGAAGAACACAGACTAGGCCAGCCTGCCCAGCCTGGAAACTAACTTTGCTACTCTCTTACTGTGTGTCCTTTAAAATACAGCTTGACCTCATTGTATCTCAAGTTCCCCTTCTGTAAAAAGAGGATGATAAGAAAATATGTCTCATAGATTTGCTGTGAAGATTAAATGGATTAAAACCTATATGGATTTAAATGGATTAAAACTTAGAACAGAGTCTCTTGCAGAGTAAGGGCTTATGTACATGTGAGCTGTTATTATTTTCTAAATGTCGGAATGAGTTGGGGAAATAGAAGAGGTGCTTGGAATGCTGTGCTTATCAGTCATACTTTCTTTTCTATCCACCCCCTGTACCACCTCCTCGACCCAGACCATCCTGTTTCTTATCTAAAATACCAGAGTAATATCTTAACTAATCTCCCTAATTTCAGTTCCATCCCCCTTAACCCATCTGCCCTACAAGCCATATTGATCTTTTAAAAATGTAACTCTGATCCTATCACTCTGCCTCTTAAGATCCTTCAGGAGTGATTTTAAACTTTCAGAATGACCAAGCTCCATGGCCTGGAGTTCAGAGCCAGCTAATATCCCACGTACACCCCTGCTCCATTTGGTCCCGCAATACTAAACCTCTGTACCTCACAGAAAGCCCCAGGGTAGAGCACATCCCCACGAATTCTTGCTCATCCTTCAAACCTTTGTCTACATATTGCTTCCTCCATGAAGCATCTTCAGATCCACCTTAGAGTCAATCACCTCCTCCGCCGAGCTGCCTTTGAACCTCATGCACACTTGGATAAGCTCTCAGAGCTTTGTAGTACAATTATTTATATAAAAATGTATTTCCCACACTAGACTGAGAAGACTTTGAAGGAAGCTCTTAAAGAAGAGCCTGTGTCTTTTTTTATCTTTCTTTATCCATCCCATAGCACAGTATCCAGAACATAGAGATGACGTTCAATACATTTTTTAACTGTATTTCAAGAGATTTTGGTTTGATTTTCCTCTCATGTATTTGTCTTGTCTTTTCCTGCCAACCAAAAAATCAAGTTTGTTTTAAACATCTTTGCACTTATGACAGGTGCTCTGTTACTGTGTTCAGTTTGACTGAGGAAGTGATGTTCACCTAAGAGCCTGTTTGATTAGCACAGGGTGGGGGGGGCCATGCAGAGAAAGCAGACCCGGTTACCCCTTGGGAGGGGTCTTCAAGGGAAATACTTCTCAGCAGCACCGCAGTCCAGCCCCGAGGTCTCTACATGTTTATTTTGTCACGTCTCCTCTCATTGCTTGATGTGAAGCACATGTGACAGTGATAGCAGCAAACACTTAGGCAGTAGAGCTCTCACTAGGCACCAGGCACTGTTCTAGACACTTTAGATAGCAACTCCTGTCATCTTCACAACAACCCCATAAGGACCCTCTTATGAGGAAACGGAGGTGCAGTTGCAGAACTTGATTAGAATTGCAAAAGTACAGGGGGCTAAGCCTGGATTTGAACGGTCCATCCCTGCTCTTTACCATGACACAGCATTGCCCATGTGCTCTGTGATGAGCATGCTTCCATGATCTGTGTGGCTGATGGTTATATATTATACGAGGATCTTACCACCACTATCTAACACAGGGTTTTTCAACCTCAGCATTATTGCCATTTGGGGCCAGATTATTCATTGTCTTGAAGGCTGCCCTGTGCATTGTAGGATGTCAACAGCATCCCTGACCCCTACCCACCAGATGCCAGTCGCACCACCCCCGCCCTCAATTGTGACAACCAAAAGGAT